GAACTGGTGGTACTGTTTCCCGGGCTGGGCTGCTAGACTGTATAAATGGTGAGCATAAGCAGCCATCACTCTCTGCTTCTTGATTTTGGATGCGTGCGACCATCTGCCTTGAGCGTCTGCTGTCGTACCGACTGTGATGAGCTGTGAGGGGTAGCTGCAAGCCAAAAGAAACCCTTTCTCCCTTACTTTGCTTTTGCCCCAGAAGCAAGAAGAGTGACTGGGACACACATGGAGTGCCAGAGCCAGTAGTGAAAGTATTTTTTTTTTGAGGTAACGACACTGAATCTGCTTTTTTAGCATTTTTGAGATATGAATTATGATCTTATTAAATATTGTCATTGTTTTCTACAACAGATTTCTTGAATTTCTTTCTCCTAACTGAAATAAGTATCATCATCTCCCTTCTCCCAGCCTCTGGTAACCATTCTATTCTCTGCTCCCATGGGTTCAACTTTATGAAACTGCGCATGTAAGTGATTTTAAGATTGTTTCCCTTTCTGCAGTTTCCTTGTGCTCTAGTTAGGTTTTCATTGCTTCGATAAAACAAGATGGTCAAAAGCAACTTGAGGAGGACAGGTTTGATTTGTCTTTCATGCCCCAGTCCCAGTTCACCATGAAGGGAAGTCAGGGCAGAAGCTCAGGGCAGGAACCTGGAGGCAGAGGCTGAAGCAGAGGCTGAAGCAGAGGCTGTGGAGGGGCACTGCTTACTGGCTTGCTCCCTGAAGATTGCTCAGCCTGTAATTAATTAATTAATTAATGAATACCCTCGATTGCAGTTTCTCCTCCCTCCTGTCCGTCTTTCCCCCTTCCCACCCCCACCCTCCATCCACGCCTCTTCTGTCTCTCTTCAGAAAACAGCAGGACCACCTGCGCAGGGGTGTCACCACCCACAGTAAACTGGGCCTTCCCATATCAATCACTAATCAAGAACATGACCCACAGACTTGCCTACAGGCCTGTATGATAGAGGCAGTTCCTCAGCCGAGATTCCCTCTTACCAGATATGTCTAGGTTTGTGTCAAGTTGACAAGAACTAACCAGCACAGCTTGCTTACCTTAACGCAATATCCCCCAGGTTAATTAACATTGCCACAGACAATAGACTTTTCTTCTTTCCGCTGTATATATACCCCATGTTTCCCTTACTTATTTATTTGTTGACAAGACACTTAGGTTGATTCTATTTTGTCTGGAATGTAGGTATCTTTTTGATAAACTAATTTCATTTCTTTGGGATCTAAACCTACTAGTGTATCTGTTAGACTGTAATGGGGCCCTATTTGAAAATTTTTGAGGCCCCTCTATAGTGTTTTCTAGTTTCCACCCCCAAGACAATAAAATGGGGGCAAGGCTAGAATTTTGAACTGATGGTTCTGGAACAGGTAGATACTCAAATGCCAAAGAGTAAATGTGGACTCCTATTTCACACCACACATAAGATTAACCAAAATGGATCAAAGGCTTAAACATAAGATGTAAAACTAGGGAAGAAAACATACATACAGCAGGGAAAACATGAGGTGCTAAAGCGCCCAGCTTCCAGGCTCTCTGCTTGGACGCGTGCTACCAAGAACCTGAGCGTTACCTTCCCTTGCTCATTCTGATTTCCAGGGTCTCCATTGTAACTTCAGCTTCAGCCTCATAGGTGCGTGTGTGACCCTATCAGGGGCTACTTTCAGGGACTCTGACCTTCCAACACACTGCCTGGTCTCCCCCGGTTTCCTCTGAAACCTCACTAGAAGCCCCTGCGACTCTAACTTGGGCATTTGGCCTGTCTGCCAAGCCAGCGGCCCACGGGCTTGTCAAGGTCTGCTGCTGGCGTGAGTTATCCCTGGGCTGCTGGGATCGCAGGTGCAGTGGTTTCTGAAGGTCCTACTGCCACAGGCATCCAGGAGTGAGCAGAGTACCCCAAGAGTCCCTTCTCAGAAGACTCCTCCCTTGAACGTCTTTGAACAGAATTTGTACTTCTGTGTTACTGAGCCTGGGATGGGTCAGATCTCTTTCGTATTGTTCCAGTAGGGTGTGCTTGGCTTCTTTTCCACTCCTTGTACATCTTTGACCGAAAGATTGTGCATGTTTCTTTTCTGGTCAAGTTTCAGTCATTTTAAAAATCTTGCTTCTCTGCCCCTCCTTGTTCTAGATCTGTACATGTGGACTAGGCGGTGAGTGATGCCTTTGAGAGGACCAGATGCTGTGCTGCTTAGAGCTCTCTCTGCTACATGAGCTGCCTGGGTCCACAAAGGCTCAGGCACAGGCACTGTGCATCTAGGGTCTTTGCCATAACACTGCTAATTCACAACAGAGATCTCACTTCTGGCTGAAACTTCATCAGCCTGGTTTTTCCTTTCCATGTTCCAACCAGCACTGTGATTTCTGAGTCGCTGCCAGAATTTCTCGTTAAACTCTGCTTACTGCTTATTAGGTCTTTATTAGGTCCCTAGCCTATTCCTCCAAACTCTTCCAGGCTCTTTCTGCAAACAGCTTCAAAAGTTCCCCATAGAATATCTGCAATAGCAATGACCACCCCACTTCTTTGTGCCTTTATTCTACCCTAATCCCTTCCAACCTTCAAGCACTAGGTAGGAGAGAAATAAGGTTAGAGGGGAAATGGGGGTATAGACCTCTATGGACTTATTGCTGATTAGGGACATAGAGTTCCTTGAGGCAAGTCCACCGGGAATCTAGCAATAGCAAACGCAGCACTGGGGGCAGCAACAGTGGGAACAGTAGCTGGCACAGGCCTCTGGCATTTATACCCTCTCCAGAGTCCCCAGAATTAACAATATGCAGCTGGCAAAGATCACGCCCCCTGCTAGTGCATGAGGCAAATCATAATCACCTGCTGTGAAGCAGCCCCGTATCCCACACCCATAACATCACTGGGTTTTAACAGGAACAAAAATTCTCACTACATAAAATGATATTTAATGCCGGCCCCAGACCTTATGCCCCCTCCCCCTCTATCTCCACTGAGATTTCAGTTCTTGGCTGCTTCTCTTCATAGAACATTCTGGAAATTACTAAGTGATTAGGTACAGAAACTCAATACACATGCAGATGCTTACTCCAGGGATCCAGATTCTCTGTGTGTAGGTATCAAAGTCTCAAAGGAGCTAGATTCCACTCTGTTTAGTTCAGACAAGAATGGCATTTTCATAAGGAACTTGGCTAGAGATCCTGAGTTGAACTTCAAGTTAGCTTGACTGACAGAGAAATTCTTTGGTCTATTTTTTTTTTTAATTTCCTCTCCTCTGAGGTTATTTTTAGACTGACACATTCCAAGTGTACACTGTGGTCACTCTGGGCTGTCACTGGTGCTGCTAGCTGCAGAGATTTGCTGTCCTGTGGCACACTGTCTGGCTGAGGTGCTATTGTCCCCAGCTAGCTGGCTCAGAGTGAGAAGGCTGTGTCTTGATCAGCTTAACACACAGCCACTCTTTCACAGAGACATCTCCCCTAGATCACTCTAGCCTGCCCTGGCCCCCTCTCTGCTCAGAAATCCTAATGACATTTTGGAAATGCAAGTTAGTCACATCCCTCTTTCCCCTTACAGCAGCCCAGGACCTCAGCTGCTTTGGGGTGTAGCAGCACTCTGCCATGCTTTCCAGGGCTTCCTGGTCAGGATGTGAGTTCCTACCAGATGTTTTCATTACTCCAGGCTTATAGGTAGCCTATAAGCTATCTGTTATCCGCTCTTAGTCAGGCTGCATGTGTGAGCATGCACACACCACACACACACACACACACACACACACACACACTGTCCTCTCTGCTGGGAGGTTCTGTTCTACTAGGACAATCCTTACTTTTGTACTGAGCTCTTTGCTCTTTACCGCACAAGCTCACAGCATTGGCCTGTCTTCTATACAAGGCAGTAAGCAGCACGAGGCAAAGTATATCTGCAGTTTTGGTTGGATAAGAGTCTCCACATCACGAACATGTAATATGTATTGTGGATACCTGCTATTTAGCGAATGACCGTGACTTCACTCTTCCGGAAAATGTGTCTCTGACTCATGCAAGCAGTAACCTCATTGTTCCTCCTTCCTCATCCAGCCCACCACAGTTTAAAATCGCTTCCCCCATCTGAGCTTTGTTGTTTATAGAAAGAAGTAACCTGCACTTAGTTTTCTAGTGGCCAGGAATGCTTCCTTCTCTCTTTCTGAGGTGCTCCACACCCTGCTTGAAGGCCACTCTGTTCTCTGAGTGAAATCTTGTTGCCCTGACCATGTCTCCAGGGTCTCTGATCATCCATGATGCTCCCAAACACCACCCCCGGCAGAAATCCAAGCTAAGACACAAGGTCCAGTGTCAGTAAAAGCAGCAGTAGGTCAGAAGGACCGGTCTCCCAGTGATGACAGTGGTAATTAAGGTCCTTCCTGGAGTTTTCCCATGCCTCTTTACTTGTTGGTATAACGCAATTGGATAATACAAATGGAGAAGCGACAGCCGTAAGAAATTGTAGGTTAATTATCCAAAACCATGTTGTGAAAAGCTAGTTTGACTAGGAAATAGAGGTTGATAATTTACTCATAGCAGTGATGCTTTCCTTACAGTCTTTTTTCTAATAAAAGTTTGTTGTTGTTGTTTTAGCTATGAATGTACTTGTAAAATTTGCTGTTGCAAAATAACCTGCTGTTTGACTATATATGGCATTTGTTCTGGAATAATAGCTTTTGTTTTCCTTCATTTCCTACACAGCCATTGGCTTTTACACCATTCTATTTCCTTTGTCACCTGCTGTCATAACAGATAAAGCACTGAGCCCCCACCCCACCTCTGTTGTAGACAACACTTTCTCTCATGCCAAGGAACTAGCTCCAGATTTAAGAAAAATGATGTATCCTTAATTAATGCAAGTCTACTTCTTTATTCTATCCAATTTACTCTAAAAAACAAGCAAGCGAGCGAGCAAACAAACAACCCCACGCCTGTGATTTCTGAACTCTAGACAGCCTACATCAGACAATAACACCTGTGTGTGACACCTCCCCAATCAGGTGATGCAGGCCCAGTGTGTCAAAACAGAAACTGAATTCTACATGCGCAGCCGGAGCGAGATAGTGGATGGAGATGGCCACACCATGGGGGCACTTTATTGGCAGTTAAATGATATCTGGCAGGCTCCTTCCTGGTCCTCTCTTGGTAAGTGTTTCTATTCTTTTCTTTTCTTTTTTTTCAACTATGGATAATATTTAATTAGGACTTTTTAAAATTCAAAACTGGCTCTTGTTGATAGTTCTAACATCCTGATTATAGTGCTTTAAAAATTGATTTGGTCTCATTGCATTGTGCTTTTTTTTTTTTCATTCTTTCTTTCTTTCTTTCTTTATTTTTTTTTTTGTGGTGAATACCTTTTTTTTTCTTTATTATTTACACTTTATTCACTTTGTATCCCCCTGTGGTTCCCTCCCTCCTCCTGTCCCAATCCCTTCCTTCCTCCACCCTCTTCATGCATGCCCCTCCCCAAGTCCACTGATAGGGGAGGACTTCTTTTCCTTCCTTTTGATCCTAGTCAATTAGGTCTCATCAGGAGTGGCTGCATTCTGTGGCCTGGTAATGCTGCTTCCCCCTCAGGGGGAGGTAATTAAAGAGCAGGCCAAGCAGTTCATGTCAGAGACAGTCCCTGTTCCTGTTATAAAGGAATCCACATGGATACTGAACTGCCATGGGCTACACTGTGCAGGGGTCTTAGGTTATCTGCATGCATAATCCTTGGTTGTATTATCAGTCTCAGGAAAGACCCCCGTGCTCAGATTTTTTGGTTCTGTTGCTCTCCTTGTGGAATTCCTGTCCTCTCCAGATCTTACTGTTTCCCACTTCTTTCCTAAGATTCCCTGCACTCTGCCCAAAGGTTGGCCATAAGTCTCAGCATCTACATTGATAGTCTGCAGGGCAGAGACTTTCAGAGGTCCTCTGTGTCAGGCTCCTGACTTGTTCCCTCTTTTCTCCTTCTTCTGATGTCCATCCTCTTTGCCTTTCTGGATAGGAATTGAGCATTTTAGCAGGAGTCCTCCCTCTTGATTAGTTTCTTTAGGTGTACAGATTTTAGTAGGTTTATCCTATATTATATGTCTATATGAGTGAGTATATACCGTGTGCATCTTCCTGCTTCTGGGATAGCTCACTCAGGATGATCTTTTCCAGATCCCACCATTTACCTGCAAATTTCATGATTTCCTTGTTTTTTATTGCTGAGTTTTTTATTGTTACACATCCATTGTGTAGATGTAAACGACTGCCTACAGATTGGGAAAGGATCTTCACCAACCCTATATCTGACAGAGGACTAATATCCAGTATATATTAAGAACTCAAGAAGTTAAACAGCAACAAATCAAGTAATCCAATTAAAAATGGGATACAGAGCTAAACAGAGAATTCTCAATAGAGGAATATCGAATGGCAGAGAAACACTTAAAGAAATGTTCAACATCCTTAGTCATAAGGGAAATGCATATCAAAATGACCCTAAGATTTCACCTTACACCCATCAGAATGGCTAAGATCAAAAACTCAAGTGACAACACATGCTGGAGAGGTTGTGGAGAAAGGGGAACCCTCCTCCACTGCTGGTGGGAATGTAAACTTGTACAACCACTCTGGAAATCAATCTGGTGCTTCCTCAGACAACTAGGAATAGCGCTTCCTCAAGATCCAGCTATACCACTCCTAGGCATGTACTTGAGCCAAAGAGGCTCAAGTACACAATAAGGACATTTGCTCAACCATGTTTGTAGCAGCCTTATTGTAATAGCCAGAAGCTGGAAACAGCCCAGATGCACCTCAGTGGAGGAATGGAAACAGAAATTGTAAGAGTTTCTTTGTGTGAGAGAAATCAATGCCTGAGTGGAGAGGGACTGGGAAATCGCAAAGCCTGAAGAATCAGATTACCCCAAGGAGAGCTGGGCCAAAGAGGCCATTCCCTCCCTGAACCTGCTCTGTGAACTCTGCTGCCCCTAATGGTTTGTCCATGAGCTTGTGATGCCAAGCAAAGTCACAGCAGGCTGGTGAAGAGTGCATTCAGCTTCAGAGATCGAAGGTGTGATATGGGATGAAGTAGTGTGTGTGTGTGTGTGTGTGTGTGTGTGTGTGTGTGTGTGTGTGTG